TAGAGGTTCCCCTGGTGTGACAAGCGTTAACAGAGGTTCTCCTGGTGGGACAAGCGTTGACAGAGGTTCCCCTGGAGGGACAAGTGTTAACTTCAGCATATATTATATAAGTTTGTTGTATTTTTTTTCATGTTATATTGATTATGGTGATTGTTTATATATTTGTTAAAAGTTGTGTTATGCATATGTTCATGTTTCTGTCTTGATAGATGGATGGATTTCTTTTTAGATTTTACGAATTCCTTTGTGTACACTATCGCTATAACGTATTCGCTTATCTCTGTTGTTCGGATCCAGTAATATATACGAACTCAACCTAAAAAATCAAAAGTACTTTCGGCCTGTTTTCAGTCAGCAGTCAGCACTGCTTATGAAGATAAAGGAGGAAGTATCATATGTAACTGAACAAGCCGCCACCAGACCTGATTTTTTTATATGTTTTTTTTTTTTGTTGTTGTACAGAACCGTTGATTGGCTGCCCCACATCAGACAACTGCGCGGTCGTTGGTATTGAGTGTAAGTAAACTTAAAAGCAATCACAATTTTCATTCAGTTAAGATACGGTTAGTGTAATTATTTAAATTGATATAAAACATGTTTTGGGAGACATTTAAGAAAGCAGAAAACTAGTATGGGAAAACATGTATAAACAATACTTCTATTTTTATTTTTATATTTGTTCTTGTTAACATTATTACTCAGAGAGAACTGGAGGGATCCTTCTCAAATTTCACTCGTTCCCTATGGTTCTTAGTTATACATAAATAATTTGTGGACTAATCGAAAAAAACCATAACGCAGACAAGCGGTAATCTTGAATTTTGAGTATTCGAATTTGTTGGCGCATTTTTCCCAGAAAGTTCTTGAGGGATCTTTTCAACTTTTACAAGTAGGTTCCCAGTGGTCCTTAATTGTGCATGGTTCTTTTTGGGACATATTGGCGGCCAAACAATCATTTTGATTATTGGAACTTTAAATTTGTTATCCCTTTTTTTTCAAGATGTACTAGACACATCTTAATAGTATTTTTTTTTTTTAGGCTGATCAGTAAAATAAAATAGTCGCCAGGTAGCCACACTTGGTTTCGATCTGGCCTGTGGCGCGTCATCCGTCGTCCGTTTGGCGTCAACTGTTCTTAAAACGACTTCCTCTCAATAACCAATAGGCCTAGGGTAATGGTATTCGGCAGAGGCCATAGGGTCAAATGTTTAGAATATTTATACAACTTCTTCTTACTACCCGACTGAATGGTACAGGTTTATGATATCTACCCAGTAGCACGCTGGGACAAAGGGCTACCAAGTTGGTCCAATCGAATGACCTTACCATGCGTTCTCTATCACAGATGTAGAATATGTTAAAACCTGCAAACAAATTCTTCTCAATAACCAATAGTCCCAGGGGATCATATTTGGCCAAGAGCATATTGGGATGAAGGGCTGGCTTATTTTCCCAAGTGAATGACCTTGACCCACTTTCAAGGTCACAGGGGTCAAATGATTTTAACAAAATCTTTAATCAATATCTTCTCAATAACCAAAAGTCCCAGGGTGATTAAAGCTATTCAATAGCATGCTTAACATAATTATTAACATTATGAATGTAATGATAAAGAGGCATATTATATTCTACAAATCAATACTTGCTAATCCTCCCTATTTTGTGGGGAGATTCACGATTTTAAACCTTGGAAATCAGCATTTTTCTCAACTATTCCTATTTTCTATTATCTGATGATTTCACCTGAACATACACACATTTCATTGATGCTTTCAATTCCCAGCACGCGTAATCTCCCCCATGGAAATTTAAAAAAGTTGGCAAACAGGCAAATCTATGGCTATTCGAAACTACACGCAGTGATATTAAAGAGCTAAAACACGATCTTACGCCTATAACATATACAATATATATTATGCGTATTTACAACAGGGTGGTCGGGTGGCGCAGTGAATAGTGCACTTGATTTTAACCAAGGCGGCCGGGGTTCGATTCCCCGATCGGTCGTGAAAATGTACGGGGTCACCTGCCCGATCACGTGAGTTTTCTCCGGGTACTTCGGCTTCCCTACTCATTAAGACCCCCCGCGCGCTAACATCCGGGTCAACAAGAAAGAATAGGATAAGTTGTAAAAAATTGTTTCATAATGGTTGTAAAATAAATTGAGTACAACTAGTTAGCTCACCTGGTCCGAAGGACCAAGGTGAGCTAATGCCATACCGTGGCGTCCGTCGTCCGTCCGTCCGTCAACAATTTCCTGAACGACTTCTTCTTTTTAACCACTGATTGGAATTCAACTAAATTTGACTGGAAGCATCCCTAGGTGATGGGGATTCAAAATTGTACAAATGGTTGGGCTGACCCCCCAGGGGGCTGAGGGGTGGGGCCAAAATGAGTCAATTTAGCTATATTGCTTTAAGCGACTTCTTCTCTGGAAATAAGAAGTCGATGTCAACCATATTTAATTGGAAGCATCCCTAGGTGTCAGGGATTCAAAATTGTACAAATGATGGAGCTGACCCCCCAGGGGGCTGAGAGGCGGGGCAAAAAGGG